TTTTATTGAAGCGCTTACATGTTTCGGCTCATTTTTGAGGCTTCTTCTCTCGAGGTGGGGAAGATCACCATGACTAGTTAATATTTGTTATATATTCTATATATGTGACTTTATGTTGTCTCTAAAGAAGGCTTAAAAATGAGCCGAAACATGTAAGTGCTTTAGTAAAATAAAATAGTTTTACGATATATAGATAGTCGTGTTATTTGCGCAACGTCTCCCGCGCTTGACTCCTATTGCCCTTGTTCTTTTCTGGTTTTCTGATTTATAAGGAGTCTTAGTCAGGTTGATTTATTATACGTTATGAGTTGAAATAATTGTATGAGTGAGACAATTATCCATCGCATGATTTTGGATCATGTGTCAAATTATTAATAATAGTCAGTGTGCGTAATTTCGTATGCTCGTCAAATAATTAAAAGTAGTCAAGTGATAAGATAAAAATGATTAATATTAAAAAGTTAAAATAAGTGATATAACTTATCAGTATATATATATATATATATATAACGGATTAAGTAATAGGATAATTGTACGGCCCATTCGTGTAACATCCAGAAATTCACAACATTCGGTCTTTCAATCGCTTGCAATCAATTTCTGTCATTCTATAATATATGTAATTCATCGGATCTCATCTAATACTATATACCTTATATTTCTACGTTATATTTTTCGCTCATCTTATGTTACTGACAAGGGAAGACCGAAAGTTGTGAAACTTCTCTTGTGAGATTTATTTTAATATTTGAAGCTCAATCACATACACACACACACACATACACGCGCACGCATACGCGACGCGCGCACACGCACATACAGGCACAGGCACGCGCACGAGCACACACACGCACGCACGAACACATACACGCACACGCACACAAGTATTTACGCGTCTTTCAGATTTTCGTACCTCTAGTTTTCGTTCTTTTTTTCCGCCCGCTATTATTATTGCGAGTTCTTACAGAATTATTGACGACTTCTTGTGACCTATTATAATTTTGCGTAGTCTCATCGGATCAACGAGTGAAGAGTGAAGACCATCCGAACCAGAATTAGGAGCGAGATGGAAAAAGTAATTACCGAAGGTATCAAACGATCTACAAGGGCTGCGTTCGGAAACATCACCCGAGTGCTTCCGTGTATCGTTTTATCCTTATTATTCACCCAATGTTAAACAAGGATAAGATGATACACGGGAGCATTGAGTGATGTTTCCGAACGCAGCCAAGGAGGGTGGCGGGCAGGTAATATCGCTTCATATTTTAATAATTTCCGTTCTGTTTTGAAACCTATCATCCTGTCACAAAATTTTACAGGCGCATCGCAAAGGAGTTATTAAGGCAGTGAGAGGGGATGGCCACTCTGCGCCCACGTGCTGGCGATAATCACTAGCTGAAATATTGTTCCACAGATTACATGATTTCATATGATTTCATCTGATTACAAATAATTTTTTTCATTACATATGGAATAATTTGATAATAAAATATACGATTTTATTTAATATTATACAATGATTTCTCGTAGTTGCATATATAATTATCGGATTATATATAGAGATTTCATATGAATTTTATAATGATTTCGAGGACTCTGTCCCACGATTACATTGTAATGAGTGGTTATCCCATCGGACGAGAAACCCCGTTACGGAACTGATGGCTTAGAGACGCTTTTGGACAGAGCCGAAAGCAAAGGGGATCGGCTACAGGATTATCTTCACTGAGATGTGATTCTCCATGCACGATGAATATTAGAGAAAACCATTAGCAGATGAAAGGGGCAGTCCATATATTACGTAAGCAAATTTTTGGCAATTTTAAACCTCCCCTCCCCCTATAATTACGTACGATTTTTGCAGACCCTCGATGTCCAAGACTAAAAAAATTTTCAAGACAGTTACACGATTCTTTCAATATTATTGTATGAACGATATAGTTGCATTGAAAACATTTCAAACAAAAGTCTTATGTAAGAATATATGGGACCCCGTCTCCCCTCTATGTAAGCATTCGTAAGAATTTGTCTGATTCTCCGCTTCTCCCAATTATGCTTACAGAGAAGATCTATTCTCTTTGGCTGAACTTTTGCACCAGTTCATCTTTCTTCCTCTTCTTTCCTCCTGGAGAGGAAAGGAAGAAAGATGAACTGGTATAAAAGTTCAGCCAAAAAGAACAGACCTAATATATGGACGACCCCATAGAGTCCTGCCGCTGTATTAAATCCCATGCGCCACAGGATGTGCGATTGACGCGGCTTGCGCTATTCGTGGAGTACGCAAGACCCGCGAGCCAATTGGATCGCGATATGGTCCCCTCGTGGGGAAATCGCGATAGCCTGCGTGCCCTCGGAAGTTTCGGCTTCCAGCACTTGTGTCGTGACTGCGTTGAAGCGAACGCTCGAAGGATCCAAAGGTGTGCCAAAGGGAGAGCTTTCGTGGAACGAACATAAGAGGTAATTTATAAAGTGCTAAAAAAAATTGTGTATTTGTGTATTTCAGTGCAACAAATTTTTATTTTTCAAAACGAACAAATTTAGTTATATTTCCTTAGTAAATATAAGAAATTAGTGCCGTGCAAAGAGTTTTTGGGGCTCTACTTTTTCACACATAGAAAGATACTGTATGCAATAATAACTTCATTTAAGTATTTCAAAGTTCATATATCCCCCCGCAAATCTATTATAAGTTTATTTAAATTTAATTATTTAAATAAGTTTAAAAATTATTTTTTTGTTATTATTACTTCTTAAGTTTCCAGTCCAATTTATATTTTTCTGTTTCGCATACCTATACTCTGTCTGTTAACTGCAATTAATTATTGAAACGCATCGCACCGCCGCGCTCACTTTTTGGACGAAAATCGATCGACAATACAATTCTTAACCGATTTCAAAATTTTTTTTTTTAATTTACTCATAATGAAGTGCTCTATAACGTGGTGCTACGCTTTTTTTTTAACTCGAATGGTGGACCAAAAAAGATTATCGAAAGTGTTGAAGTGATATTGAATAAGATACTTCATCGACAATTTTAAATATATTTACGCGAAATTAGATATGTTTTTTGAGACGAAATTAGATTAGTTTTTTGAGACGCTAAACATGAATTTAGTAGTTAAAAATTTCTCAAATGACATTAAATATTCAAGTCAAAAGTATTGAAATTATACAATTTTTAATAATTTATAGAACAGTTAGTGAACATTAGATACATTATTATTTCTAAATATTTTTCAGTTTGTAATATTATATTGTTAGGTAGAGAATATTATATTATTAATTAGCAGAATTTTGTTACATTGCTTTGTCACAATACAACTGTGCTCAAGGTATCTGCCATTAAAAGAGTTTTTTGTTTTTTTTGTCTTTTTTATTCTTTGTTGTTTTTATATTTTGTTTATTAATTTTTTCTATTTTATAAATTTGTTATTCTTATATCCTAAGCGGTATATTACGTGCTATTTACGCGCACACACACACACACACACACACACACGCGCGCGCGCGCGCGCGCGCGCACGCACCCACACATAAATATATACTTACACTTTCATATATTTTTTGCAAGGTGTAATAAGAATACAAAATTTGAAAAATAAAAAAGATTAAGAAACAACATATAAAAACAACAAAAAAATAAAAAAACAATAACTCTTCTAATGGCAGATACCTCGACGCGGTAAAAGGGCTTAAGCACTGTTTTGTTACACCCCAAACAGTACAGAATATTTATGATAAATTTATTAATATTCATTTTTTGAAATTTTATATAGATATTTCATACATAATATAAAGCTTTATTCGAAATATTATTAAAATATAGACTAAATATTTTATGAAATATTTATGATAAATATAAATAAATATTTCTAATAAGTATTTTTTACTTGGATTATAATGTCTCATTAAGTACTTTCATAGCATTTACTATTTAAAATAAATGTTTATGATCTGTGCAATCTAAAAGACCACAAAAAATGTTTACAAAATATTTAAAATAAATCTTATAAATATTTTATAAATATTTTATAAATATTTTATAAATATTTTATAAATATTTTATAAATATTTTGTGTGCTATCTAGGACATGAACGGTTGTGACGAAGCAATGTAACAAAATTTTGCTAATTAATAATGTAATATTCTCTACCTAACAACATAATATTACAAACTGTGAAAAACATTTAGAAATAATAATATATCTAATGTTTACTAACTGTTCTATAAATTATTGAAAATTATATAATTTTAATATTTTTGACTTGAATATTTAATGTCATTTGAGAAATTTTTAATTACTAAATTCATGTTTAGCGTCTCAAAAAACTAATACATATCTAATTTCGCATAAATATATTTAAAATCGTAGATGAGATATCTTATTCAATATCATTTCAGTAGCAACAAATTTTTGTTGCTAGAGACATATAATGTTTATCTGAATGCTTATCCTCCTAAAAGGGGATTACGTTGAAAAATAAAAAAAAGTTTTGTGAAAATCTTGCGTCTTCATTACTAACACGGGTACTTATTGATTTGTCCTCGTATATATACACGCGGGGTGTCATTAACCGATTAAATCACCCATCGTGAGGTAGAGTGAACCGAACTGACAAGGAAAGTTTCACAACTGTCCGGAACCGATTTGATTCTCCATGAAATATATTGTAAAACGCGAAAATCTAAGAGACGTATTTTTTTATACGTGCGCTAATTCATGTTTAAGGGGTGAAACACTCTTTGAAAAAAAAAACGGAATTTTTTTTTCAAAGCGAATATCGTCGGAAGTATAAAAGATAGAAAAAAATTTTTTTAATAAAAGTTATACGATTTCAAGAGTACTTTAAAGTTATAAAGGAAAAAAATTAAAAAAATTTTTTTCTTTAACAAAATACCCTCACCACCCGTAATTTTCTTTAATTTTTAATTTTTTTATTTACCAAATTAAAGATTATTTTTTTACAAATTCAACCATGTGTAATAAGTTTTTAGAAAAACATAGTAAAACACATTTTTTTTGATCGATTCATTTTTATTTCTCAACATAGTCTCCTTTCAGCTCGATACACTTGATCCAACGATTCTCCAACTTTTTCAAAAGTCGTCCGAATAATATGATTTGTCCAACCCTTCAAAATAAACCTCTGTTTCGGCGATGAGCTGTTCTCTGGTGATGAATCTCTTTCCTCCGAAACATTTCTTCAGGTTTGGAAACAGGAAATAGTCGCAGAGGGCTAAATCTGGCGGATATGTTGGATGGGGAAGCAATTCGTAGCGGAATTCGTTGAATTTGGCCATCGGTGCCGGGCACGTGTGAACCCGTACATTATCTTGATGGAAGAGCACTTTCTGCTTCGCCAAATGGAGACGTTTTTTCTTTAAAATGTTGTTGAAACGGTCCAATAAGGCTGCGTAGTAATCACCATTGATTGTTTACTTCGTCGGAAGGTAATCGATATGAATTATATACCGCGTGCATCCCAAAAAATTGTGGCCATCACCTTTCCGGCCGACTTCACGGTCTTCGCCTTCTTCGGAGCTGATTCACCCGGTGAAGTCCATTGTTTTGACTATTCCTTCGTCTCAGGTGTGAAGTAATGGATCCATGTTTCGTCCACAGTAATGAATCAACGCAGAAATTCATCTGGATTACGTTGAAACATTTCCAAACATTGTTTTGAAATCGTCACACGGTCACGCTTATGGTCCACAGTGAGCAAACACGGCATCCATCTTGCCGATAGCTTTTTCATACCCAATTGTTCGTGCAAAATTGAAATCACTGTGCCATGTAATATGCCAATTGCCTCAACAAGCTCGCGTACTTTCACTCGTCGATCAGTCAAAACAATATCGCGGACTTCATCGATGATTTCTGGCATAGCAGCCTCAATTGGACATCCCGAACGAGGTGCATCACATGGATGTACGATCGTTTAAATTCATTCACTCAATTGTATACAGTCACAAAGGCTGGTGCAGATGTGCTATGAACATTACAACTCGGCTTTGATTTCTTTCGGCGTTAAACCTTTCATATGTAGATGTTTGATCATGCACGAAACTCGTTTTTTTCCATTTTGCAAAAAATACAAAGGTTGTTCGCTTTAATCGTCTACAGAAATGAAATCACGCGATGAATTCCGCTCAAAATTTGACAGTAATCAGCTAAAAGATGCTTGTCAAAAAGTAATGTGACATGACTCTGCGAGTGCTCTCTGACAGATTTTCTAAGAACTTATTGACTTGCCCTCGTAATATGATTCGGAATACTTTACATCTCACAGGTTAAGACAGTTAACGTGAGATGCTGTCTGTATCGTGCCATCTTTGTCCTCTTTTTTTTTCCCGAACACGGTCCCCTTATAGACTTATAGAGCGTTCGGGAATTTTCCAAAGGTGTTCCGGATAATTACTGCTCATCATAATTATTGGGCACCTTTGAAAAATTCCCTCAGAAGCCCTAAAAAGGAATACTCGATGAACAACATGTATTAAAATAATACATTATATGCATTGTGCGTGAAATGGAACGCACTCATGGAAAATCACAGAAAGTATTTACGGAGTAGTGCACTTACCTTTAAACCTATCAATGATAGATTGAGATACACCCCATTGTTTCAATGTTCTTCGGATTTCTTTGTCCATCACATTTTATTTATTAGAATAAATTCTGCACAAAACGTATGCTGCTAAAAAATAATGCGGGACGTATAATTGCGGCTGCGGTTCACTTGATGCTACAAACGCTTCGAAGCATTCTTTGATTAGTCAATTCGTAAAATTCTTCGTTCTGATTAGTCGCTCAAACGCTTTGAAGCGTTTGTAGCGTCAAGTGGACCGTAGCCTACGTACAACATACAACGGTTAATGCGCTGCTGTTAGAGCAGCACCACATTAGAGAAACTACGGGTATACGTTCGGGGAGCCAATAATGAGACCGTTCTTGCGGTTCGCGCGTAACTATAAACTTAGCTATGTGTGCTAAGTATTGGCTGCTTTCCTTTTAGGAGACATAGTCGACACAAGTCGATACAAGTGTCGTTCTATCTTTGTCACTCTCTGAATGTCAAGAAGGATAAAACGACTTGTGTCGATTTGTGTCATCAAATGGAAACCAGTGATTATTATTATTTTATTATTTTTGATTTTTTCTATTAATTTTTTTCTTTATTTTGTTTAATATTATTAATGTTTGAGGAGATTACATGGAAACGGAATAATACGCTATTTATTAATTCAAAATAATTAAGATAAATATTATTATGAAAAAACATCATTATGGAACAATATAAAAGTCATGTTTACAATTTGGTCCTAAAATAAATAGAGAAGAAAGTGATATTGTGGCATTCCAGTTACATTTTACAATAACTTTGTTAATAATCAATATTTAAGTTTAAAACTTGACAATTACATTCATTAAAATGTTATTGAATCGATTCTGGACTCAAAGTTACGAAATATTTATTACTTAAGATACTATTAATAAAAATGTGGCGACATTGCATAATGACTCGAAGAAAAAATGAGTGGTAATGTGGCCTTTCATAAAAATAACCTTAAAATTAGTTTTGTTTAGAAAACAGTATTTGGTTACAAAATTAACAAAAAAATAAAACATTTTAAAATGTATGCAAATGAATGTATATACATTCACATAATCACATCTTCTGTATATAAGCTGCTCAGTATTAAAAATCTCAGTATTAAAAACAGTACACGTAATATAAACTATAGATTAACCGTAGAGCTATACAATCGATTATCAAATAATTATTTTGATATGAAAATCTCAAAAAAGAGGTTATGAGTAATCAATATCCATAGAGGGCCACATTAACAAAATGCCATGCTATTGTTTAAATTTGCATAACTCAAAATATATACGGTCAAATAAAATGTTAAATAGCAAATGACACATTCAAAAATACATATATTCATATGATAATACGCTCAAGTTTAAGAAAAATGAGAGAAAGTAGGTAATTAAATACTAAAATGTATCTCAGAAACGTTCCGAAATACTTGAAAGTAAAAATGCGTTATAATAAATGCTGGCTATTGAGTATTGGTAATATTAGCTTGATGGTGTAACGGCGAGCTACTAATAATTCTGAACTAATAATGCTGAACTAATAATTCCACAAGTAATCATTATAGGATTCGCTATATAATAGCGGAGATATTAAGGGAGGTCACAATATATATACTGGCCATAATATCACCTTCTCCTCTATTTATTTAAATTGAAAATATAAATTCAAACAAGAAATAAATTTCTTGTTTTTAAACTATATTTCGCTTTTCCTAAATCTGTTGTATAGAATTGAAAGAAATATATCAAATTTTTCTGACTCAATAAATTTTCTTACATCAATATATTATCAAATATTCAAGTTAATCAAATCTGACTTTTCTTCGATAAAATTTTATAATATACTTCAAAAGAGAATAAATTCTTATTTTGAGTATATGATATTGAGTATTTCTGAAACTTGTGATGAATACATTTTAAAAAAACTACTAGCGAGAAAATATTCCTTATTGAAAGTAACCGTTATTTAAAAGAAGAAAAATAAAATGAATAAGTATTTTTTTTTAGCAATCGAGGGTCTTCTGTAAGAAGCGAAGATGTTACTAGTCGCTGTCATAATCATAGTCATTATTGTCATCGCCAAAAAAAGAGGTGAGAAATTATAAGAATATAATATTATATATAGTAATATAGTATATTGTATATAATATAATTGGATATATAATATAATTGCATATAGTATATAGTATATTGTATATAGTATATTGTATGTAGACTATTGTATATAGTAATACTATATAGTAAGAGTATAATAAATATACTCTTTTATATACTTACTATTTCGTATTCTATTCTAGGACCTCTTTTTGAAAATAGAAATTAAGCCGGGACTTTGGAACACCGCCATTGAACTAACATGTAACGTAAGCTATAGGTTTTCAATACTGGCAGTAAATTTTAGAACACAGTTAATAAACAACCAATTTCTTTGGTTACAGAGTTCGAGGATCTGAGGAGGAAATTCGAGATTCATAGATTCATTTGAAATAAAGTGGCGAGCGACACAAGAAGGATATTCAACATGTTGCAATTTATTTTGCGATGTATAAAAAGGGCGATTATGTTAACCTGTATTTTGTGTTTAGTAATTGTAAGGTTTTTTTTAAATATATTTCCATTTGATGTTCCATTTAGTATACTAAAAGATATTGTAATTATGATTATTTTGATATTAATTTTTGCAATTGTAATACAAAATACTACTTCAAAAATTTAAAAAGATATAGTTTATATAGACGAAAGCTATATTTGTTGAATCTGTTAATATAACAAGATAAGAAAGTGCGTGCGAACAGTAGTGAACGCAGAAACGCTCGCTGTGCGAGCGAGCTAGCACAAAACCGGTGACTCGAAATAATTCTAGTTTGTCCATAATAATCGGTGTAAGAGTGGTCGGAGACTTTAAAATGTTACCCATAGCTCACGTGAAAAAATCGCGAACAGGAAGGACTAGGCTCGGGGTCTGTCCGGGCTCATGAACATCAATTCGCGACGATTCACCAAATCCCGAAAAGCTGGCCAAAATGTGAAAGAATTGTTTGATTTGCTCGAAATTTGATACCTAGGGGTTTTCGAGGTCGTTGATTTCGAATCTGAAGTTAAAATTGCAAAAAAAAAAATGGCGGATCCAATATGGCGGATATAAATTTTTAAATACTTTTAATGTAGTCGAAATTCAGAACCATTGGGTTTTCGAGGTCGCTGATTTGAGGAAATTGTGAAAGAACAAAATGGCGGATCCGATATGATCGATATATGTATAAAAGAAGTGTTTCATTTGGGTAAAATTAAGAAAAATAAATATTGAGACAATATAACAAAAATTGTAAAATTTAAACAGAAATTTGTTGTATAGGATTCCTATACAATATATACGTATTGTATATCCTGTACAACAAATTTCTGTTTAAATTTTACAATTTTTCCTATACTGTCAATATTTATTGCGTTTTGGCCAGCTTTTTGGGATTTGGAACCACTATGCGATCGTATATAATTCAAGTGTAATACATGGATAGGGAGTAGGTGTATCCAATATAAATACACGATAAATGTTTGTTAAAAATAGCCATAGTGAGTGTCTTGTACACACCTACACCCGACCACCTTCTCAAAAATCTAAGTTACATGGCGCGACAGGTGCGGGAACGAGAATGCAGCCTATCACAGGACGGGACCAGGTGGAGGATACACCAGCCCGAACGACGAGGGGTTCCGTGGGTTCATTCCGGGTCATTATAATGA